TGCATGTTACAATAGTAGTCATTAAACATGTCAATTCTCCCCCTCTTGGTATATCATTTTGATCTTTACTTTGTAATTTCCCTTTTTCTAGAACCAATTCTCAGTTCAAACTAATAAATTATTTTAAGCTCCAAACTAATTTTCATAAGCCTCCCGCAAAAATTATGAGCTTATTAAACGCTTTTTTACATCATTTATATTTCGTTATTATTGGTCTTATGGATAATTTTTGAAAAAGTACCAATTATCATATAAATCCACAAAAAAAAATTCAACGTCGGTAGCCAAAAAAGTCCGCTTTCCAAAAATGGCGCAGCCTCCGCCGCAATATGTATAAATCAGAACATCCCCTTAGCCATCTCCGACTTCAGCTAGAAACAAACACGATGAACCGCAGCGAAGCACACCACAGATCCCCGCCGCCCCAACCAGATTCCGGCGATCTTCAGCTAGGCTTAACAGCCGTCGAATACATCGCGCTCCAGCCGACCATCGAGGCTCACCACCAGCACCTTGTCGGCCCCGGCCAATGCTCTTCACTAAACGCGCAGCGAATCCGCGCACCGGCAGCCACCGTTTGGTCGGTGGTTCGCCGCTTCGATCTCCCCCAAATCTACAAACACTTTATCCGCAGCTGCGCCATCAAAGGCGGCGGCAGGGTTCAGGTCGGCTGCCTCCGCGACGTCAGCGTCATCTCCGGTCTGCCGGGGAGCAACAGCATAGAGCGACTCGACATTCTCGACGACGAGCAGAGGATCACCGGATTCACCATCATCGGCGGCGAGCATCGACTGAGGAACTACCGATCCGTGAGAACGGTGACGGATTTTGGGGGATCGGATCGAGAACAGGGGAGCGATGAGTGGACGGTGGTGCTGGAGTCGTACATCGTCGATGTGCCGGAAGGGAATACGGAAAACGATACGAGGGTCTTCGCCGATACTGTTGTCCGGCTTAATCTGCAGAAACTCGCCTCTGTGTCGGAATCCATGGCCACGGGGAAAGGGATTGTGGGGAAGAGTTCGGATGGATGAACAATTGGAAGAAAGGGATTCGGATTTGCTGCCAGAATTACCATTTCGTATTGATTTTTTGTCGTAGTTTGATTCCTTCAGGTCTTTTCATGTATTTTGTGTGCTGATTCAATTATTACATCTCATATTTTTATTTTTAGCGAAAATGCTGAATATGAGCCGTAATCCATTTTTAATTTTTGTCCTCCCACGCTTGCTCAAAAAAATAATATTAATTAAAAAAAGGCTTGCTGGACTACTTTTTTTTAATTAATACTTTTTCTTTTTAATTTAAATTTTATAACACAAATATTTCAAATCACATAAGAAATATAGGTATTATTAACCTTTTAAAAAATGAAATACATATGTTAATGGGCAGGTAAAGTTGAAATACTGTTGTTGAGCTACTTTAATTTGAAATAATTTGCTAAGGATGAAATAATTAAATATAGAAATCGAAATGATTAATTCGAGTAAGATTAAATCATATACACCTTATGGGGCAGGCAAATCAACTTATGTTCCTTTTTATCAAATAATAATTAGTCAAAGCTATGTTGATTTTCTTTACCATTTGTTGTCTCATAACTTTTCTTCAATTGGAGG